CTTCACCAATATTTTTGGCGCCTCTACACTCTACACTCATGCTTCTACAAATAAATAAAGCCGGTGTTTGAACAATATTTACAACGCAATAATCGATTAGTATGATGTATGAGTTTATGAAACATTAATTATCTGTAGGCGTGGGAGGCGGGAGCATATTTATCTACATTATACAAACCGCCTTTATCAATCTTACACTCGGTAGAATGTCGGAACAATGGCGGTGTTCCGACCACGGATTAAAAAGAAAATAGGTATCGTATGCACGAAAAGCCTCTCCTATCCCGAAATTTAAGCCCTTTGGGTCTCTTCCCGTGGTCTCAAATTTGCATAACTAATCTTTAAACGGATGACTCCATGGTAACAAGAGAGCCATTTCATCCAAGTTTCAACCCCATGCTTATGCTGTGAAAAAGAAAACATGTAATCAGACTCGGAAAATATCAATTGATCGACAACTTCAATAGTTGATGCGAATCTCGGAACCAATCAGAAACGTCTTTCAACATTTATTGAGAATCGATATTAGCTTGATACACAGATAACAGTAGTTCTACTGTTATCTGCGCTTGATACAATGATCGATATGCAAGTTCTCATTGTCGTGCTTCGATGGTTCCCTCGCACGAAGGGTCCCATGACCTGAAGATCGCTCTCAAAAGGTATAAGCCTCGCCCAGTTGGGGGGGGGGGCAATATGCCCCCTGCATGGTTTTTCCTGAAAAGCAAAAAACACCGCAGCGCGTAGCGCCGCAAAATTTTCAGTACCTTCCCGGGCATCAATTTGACACCTTCACACAAAATTTCAAGTCTTAGGTCACCTTAGGTCAGGAGCTATTGAGGTCAAACTGAGTTCATGTTCGAGCAAAAATGAGCAAACATACATGAAATCTCGAAACGTTCACAAAAAACTACAGTTAACAAGCAGTTTCAAAGTTCAACATGTGGTCGTGTAGAGAAAAGACGGCGCTACAAAATAACTATCTCGGACTTTCATAACTTTGTGATTTTGACCCCTCAAAATATTTTTTTTTTTAGAAAAATGCAAAAAGATCAGTAGACTCCACGTGACAAGCTGCATCAAATCGATACCCATTTTACGAAAAATATCAAGTTTAAAATTTGACCTGATTTGACCTGACCTTGACCTGACCTTCACCATAACGTATCCCAAAGTGGCCTCAAAGGCTGCCTGACCCACATCATCACATTTGTCATGTAAAATGAACCATAAAACAATGCATCACATGGTATTTTCATATTGTGGCCCTAAGTGACCTGGCCTGGTATAAGTGACCTCAAATAGCAAAATATGTGTTTGACGAACAATTCTCCATCGATGACTTTTAATGACATGCATTTTACTCGATTTTACAACGCCTTCTTTGAAATGCCTGTAAAGGGTGAAAATTCGCTATTTGACCTGACCTGTGGGCTGTGACGTCATTGGTTTGACCGAGGTCAATAAAATTGGGTCACGAGGTAGCTTCCCGTTGGGGTTATCCAACAGCGTTTGCTGCTTGTCGATATCAATATACTCGTATTGCGTGGTTCTCGAGATCTTAGGGGGGTGGGGGGCAAAATGCCCCTCCCCCTCCAACGGGGCGCGCTGCTCGGCAGATCCCAACGGGGCGCGGGATAACCATCCCGTCCCATCCCGCTGCATCAACATCTACCTAGACCGCTCAGCTCTCTGATCCCGATCTTAGACCGCTGACACATGACGCCTGGCTGTTCCGGGAACCACCCTAGCACGCTGCCGCCTCGAAGAAGGTGCAGAGCCCATGGCGGCGACCTGCATGCAATGCACGCTGCACCACCCCTGCGTTTTCCGAACCTCCCATTGGGTCCGGCGCAGTGACCGCCCCCTGACGGGGCCTCTCAGTTGCCGGGCGACTCGGAAGATCACGTGACCTGTCGCCCACCTGCCCATGGCGAACGGACAAAAACGTGCGTCCCGGCGCCGACCCGAAACAGTCCCGAGTTTTATTATTTATTTTCGGTTAGTGCCAAGAGCGGGCAGTCGTTTCTAGTTTTGGCCTGTTCACATTCCGTTCGCTGTCGAACCAGACTTGAAGCGGATGTCGCTCTCTCTCTCCTCTCTCTCTCTCTCTCTCTCTCTCTCTCTCTCTCTCTCTCTCTCTCTCTCTCTCTCTCTCTCTCCTCTCTCTCTCTCTCTCTCTCTCTCTCTCTCTCTCTCTCTCTCTCTCTCTCTCTCTCTTACCCTCTCTTCATACATGGAATAAATTACGAAAGGTTCAGTTACGTCTTGCGATATAGCATAAATCGTCCCACGCAAATGAAAAAAGGGGCGTGGGAGACATGCTCGGCACCGCACACATGTCCTATGCATATGGGCTTTATGTAACAGAAGTCTGTTTGAGAACGTGACCATGCTCCACCTGCTGCTGGTCACGTGTCATCAAAAGCATATAGGACTGACAGTCACGTGACCATTTGCGCATTTCCTGCACTTCAGACGCGTCTACTTAAGCGTGTGCCTGAGTGGGTGTGATGGAATGTTGTCGCCTGTGTTGCAACCCTCACAAGGCATTGAGTCTTGCACAAAGTACAAACGAAGTTTATTTGTTTTATGTGCATGCTGGCACATCATTGTCTGTCATCACGACTTCTGTAGAAGGCACTGGAGGATATAATATAGGTATACAGAGCATCGCCCCAATTGCTCCTGCAGGCAAATCTCTTGGACGTATACTGGGCCTCCTCTAATTAAAGTTATACAGTCGCAATAAAACAGCTAGCTGAGCTAGAGCGTCGCCAAATTTCATGCGCAGACGCAGACGTTTTTGCTATCACAACATGGTCAAACCGTTATGCCCATCTTGTCTGGCGATGTTCAGATGTATAAACAGTGCGGCCAGTCGGATCGGCGGACGGTGCAGTGCACATGGTGCCGAGCTGGCAGCCGAGAGGACCGTGACCCTCGCCCGCTCGGCCCAAGGCCCAGTGTCACCAGGTCAGGCCAGGCCGGCGCCCTGCCAATCTGCCGACTGTCGGGTCAAAGGGGAGGGGAGGGGAGGGGTAGGCGGCGCAGCTGCCAGACAGCATATCATGCATGAATTATAGTTCACCTTCAGAAAATGTGATGTGATGATAATTTGCCAAAAAAAAAAAACGCGATCACGACCCATTTCCCTCGACCTCTTCTTATATGTCTTGAAGAAACCAAAGTTTTGCTATTGAGGTAATATTCACCTGTTTGATTTTCACTATAATCTACAAAAAGTTTGTTAGAAGTCTGCTCGGCATGCCAGTAACCGATTACTAAGATGTTCTGATTTCTGAACAAAAATCACTTGACATGACTGGTACATATTTGATGTTTTGTCACTTTCCCATTCTTAACCCGCGCCCCGCTGGGCTATTCAGCCCTGCTGGGGGGGGGGGGGGGGGCAGATTCTGCCCCCTGTCTAACTTCCGAACCGTCGTAGAAAGACGTGGAAAACGGCAATCGAAAGCTCTCAACAAGGCGGATCTAAAGAGCCCAAATTTTTTTGCTTAAGTAGGTCAGAGGTCAGGTCAAGGTCAGGTCAAGGGTACAAAATGCAAGTTTCTACAGTATCGGCCTTGCACCGTAGTTGCCGAAGAATGGACTGAGACTGATTGCCCGAAACGTGTTCTAAGACTACCAAGACAATATTCGTTGCATACAATGTCATTCAAAGGTCAAGGTCAAGGTCAGGTCAGGTCAGGTCAGGTCACCAAAAACAAAATATAAGGGCATGTGCGACACATGTTTTATGGATCATTTTACTCATAGAATTCAATAGGCACACTCAATAAGTGATATTGACCACCTCTGGATGAATTTCAGGTCGAGGTCAGGTCAAGGTCAGGTCAAGTGAGGTCAAATTTTGAAGTTGGATGTTAAGGCCTAAAAAGGTGTCAATCTGATGCAGTTTTTCACGGCGAATCGAATGGTGCTATTTTTGTTTCCGTACAAAGTCTAGAACTACCAAAAAAATCATTTAAAAAAATTTGTGTGTCGTTACGTCATAAAATGTTGAATAACTCCCACATTTTTTAACCGATTCTTCTAAAAATTGGTATGTTGGTGCACATAGACCACTTCTCTGACATATGTTCCGGTTTTTACGATAGACTCAAAATTTTGGATTTATAATTATTTTCCCAAAAAAGTCAGTTTTTTGAAAATATTTGGGCCAAAATCCAAAAATTTTTCAAAACCGAGACAGCCATTTGATAGACAAAGTAGAATCACGTATAACCTTTTTGTTATGTCTTGATTACTTTAAAAATGAAGATGTTAGCGGCGTTTGAAATTTTGCCGTTTTTGAGGCAAAATGGCGAACATGACGTCACTAAAACGTCATTTTCTCAAAAAATTTCCGACGGATTTCGCTCAAATTTTCAGGGTACGTGTCAAATTGATGTATGATAAGGTACTGAAAGTTTGACGTCGCTGGCGTAACGCGTTTAGAAGTTATTGGCGAAAAACGGGAGGGGGCAGATTCTGCCCCCCAAGGGGCGCGGGTTAAATGTGCTCACTGAATTAATAAAAAAATGTGTTAAAAATGTGTTAAAATGTGCTCACTGAACCTAGTAAGCGAAAAATGTTTTTTTTTAATTCAATGAAATGCCAAATGATGAGCGAATGAAATAATTATTGGTGATTTCGACCAAAAGACATCAAAATATGCCAGATAGAACTTTGGTAAGACAACACTGTAAAAAATGTTTACTAATTTCCAGTTTCCTAGTTATCCGGCCACTTTGCACTAACAAAATGCGAGTAGACTTGCAGTCTACTCGCATTTTGTTAGTAAAAAGTGAAGTCAACTGGAATTTTGCATTTCGTCTATATTCGCATTTCGCATTTCGTCTATTCGCTTACTAATAAAATGCGAATAGACTTGCAGTATACTCGCATTTTGTTAGTGAAAAGTGAGGTCTACTCTAATTTTGTTAGTGAAAAGTGGCCGGATAGCTAGGAAATAGGTGAATATTTTTACAGTGAAGGTCTGGCGAGTTGGCGCCTTGCGGTGACTGCGTGACGACTGCATCAGGTGCTGCTATGAGTGATGCCGCGGCCCTGACGCAACGTCAGCCGTCTGCACAGCTGGTTACCCCGCCCCTGCCATCAGTCCCTGTCTCAGTTCGCGTCATCACGAGTGTGCTACAGCTATCGATCGCTGCCCACAGGGCCAGAGGTGATCAGAGCTGCCGAAAGACCAAGTCTGAGCGTCAGGGGTGACCAATGGCGGCGCTTAATGTCCGTCAAAAGGAGTAAACGAATTAACAGATGGCAGTGAGTAGTTTTATAAGTTCGTTGCAAATTTCAATAGAAAAAATAGTCAGATTTCTGATATGCCTACAATATTTGAAAGGATTGATTCCTTTTGAACCAATGCTTAGCTTACCTTTGTTTTTTTAGAATAAATATTCAGGCATTTTTTTTTCAATGATCAACAAATGTACGCATTGCTTTTGACGTATGTAAGATTTAGAGCCTACACGCTCAATATTTAACCGCTTCGAAATCAGCAACTGGTAATGGTGAGGTACCTAATGGTTGATCGTTGATGACTTTAAATTCATAAGAGCAGCTTCTCATAAATGCGTAGTTGAATAGAACTTTAAAAAAATTGATTATGTTAACTGTGCAATAAGAAACATTTATGCACACAACTGTGCGGAACCTATTGTTGTCTACAGACGTAATTAAGTTCGTTCATTATATGCAGTTCTGTAAAATTAATGTGCTAGTTTTCCCGAGTCGGCGCTGTTCAGTGCCCAGTGTTTAATCTTCATTGTAATTATCAGGTTGTTAGATAATGGCACTCATCTGTCGCAGTAATACGTCAGATGAAGCTGTGAATCGAGAGCATCGATTATCGATCAATAGAAAATCGGCGGTAATTGAAGAATCTGGGTTAATTAATGCGTATGATTGATTTAGCTCACGCGCGTGCGCCGTCTGCCTCCCGGCATGTGTCGTACGACATGACGTCACACAAGTGGGCGGAGCCTGTTTGTCGTGTTGCCTGTCAGCTGGATATCAGCTGAGGGAGCGTCCATCCCCCCCCCCCTCGAGCCGCGACCCCGCCCCCTCTCACGCCCCATGAGTGACGCAGAGGGACCGAATTCCTGGCACGGGCGTCTCGCTGACCCGAGCGAGCCAGCCCTTTAACGCCGGGACAGTCTCCGCGGCGGTCAGCCGATTTTTTACCCGGCCGCCGCACGTGTCGACTACACGTGACCTGCAGAGGCGGTCCCAGGGGTCGGGCACGCACACCCACCGGGTCATTCAGTAAAGCACCGTCTGGGGGTCAACAGCACCGAAAAACAGCGAAATAACAAACAGTCGCCCCTCGCTCAGCACTCCCCCGAATCGGATGCCCCCCGACGGCTCTCATGGTAACAGACCTCTCCGCTGGGGGGCCGGGCTCGCGCGTGCGTTTGGCTGGACAGCCACGGCGGCGCGGCCGCTCGGACGGCTCAGGGCGGCCGCTGATTGGTCGAGGGCGGCTCGTTCACGTGATCGTCGGCTGGTGGCTGCTGTGAGGGAGAGTGCCGGCGCGGGCGGCCGGTCGGCGCGGCGCGGCCAGCGCACAGCGCGAGTCGAACTCCGTGAGCGTAGACGGGCGGACTGTAGCGATACGTGGGTGCGACTCGAAACGGCGAGACGCCCGTCGAACGCCGACGACGGCGACCTCTTCTCAGCGCGGTGACCCGGTCTGCCCTGCATGCTATCGGTGAGTTGAGCTATCGGTGTTAGCCGAAATTCGGTGAATGTTATCAAGTTGATCAAGATTGCATGCTTAAGAGTTAAGCTATTTTTTGTTTTTTGCTCTTTCCAAAATGGTTTGTTGCATGAGGACGGCTACTGTCTGTCTGTTTTGACTTTTGTGATCCCGCTATGATGGTTAGGGTGACACCACTGCCCTTTTTGCACAGCATGTCTTGTGAAACGGTCCCGGCTGCCGAAACATAAAAGGTTTCCTAAGCTTGTGTCTTGTGTCCACATCCAGCAGAACCTGAGGCCCGACTTTCTTTCCCTCCAAGAACCTAGATTCTAGCCTTAAACGGCACTTAAAATGAGACAGACGCTCAGTCTCTGGTTGTAAAGAGCAATTATTCCTTTAAAACCCGCTCTCTCCAGGAAAGATTATTCCGATTGCCCGGATACGAATGAATCGTGTTAGCAGTGAACGTTTTACAGCCTTTTCTGGCTTGTGAAACCTGGCAAGTGATCAAGAAGCCCTACTTGTGCTGAAAGGGAGCTTAAAAGGTTCTCGAGGAAGCATTTAAGAAGTCCTATGACAACCCAGTCGGAGTTATTTTCTGACACTGCTTTCAAAGTCAGACGTGACAGCTGCCGTCACATATTGCTTCACCATGCAGACAGGTTACGTAAGAAAATCGTTGGTGCTCTTCCTTTAAAAGTTGAATTATGAAACAAAAATAGTTATGTAAAGCTTTTCTCCGTGTTTTATTTTTCACTTTCAACCCTGACGGCAAAGGATGAGCCATAGGTATTTGCTTGCTGCGCCCGTTCTGTGGATGCTTTTGGTTGACATTTTCTAACGAAATTATTTGTTAACTTAATAACATCGAATTCGCATCATTCGAAATCAAACCATGAAATAAAATCATAGCTTTTTGGTAGTTAAACTATTTGCCATTTATAGCTTTTTAAGCATTATTTTAAACGGAGACGTTAATTGCAATCGATAACTGTCAAACTCCATTTAGTTTGAAAGCTCTTTACCCCCATCCATTCCCATCAATGCCTACCAACAAATATTTTGTTCACCTATCCCTGCCCTGCTACCCCATTCCAACCCTTTGGCCGACCCGGATCCATCCAGCGCCTCTATCAGATCGCCGATCACCAAACCATTAGGATCGGGACGCGCGTGTGTGTCTGTCTGGAACCGAGTGTCCTTGGCTCGTAGCCACGGCGCTAAACATGTCCCTCGGGAAACGTCTCGGAGCTTCCTGTCACTAACCTAGCTTCAGACTGGCTGGCGGCCTGCTGTCACATAGGACATTATGCACATGGCGTGATCAGGGAGGGATGACCCATGAGAGGTGACTCAGTGCATGGGTCACTGCAGGCGTTCGCTGGAACTTGACGAGGTCAGGCTGATGCCTGAGAGGCCCAACGCGTGCATCGTTACATAAGTTTCTGATGGTGATGACTGATTTATTACCAATAGTGTTTGGCTTCATATACGTCAGATGGATATTTCTATTGAATAATATCGAGGCTGACCAGTGACCACTGACCAGTTACCATTGCAATCACCATTTGCCCAACATATTCCTTTCAAATATCAGCCTCAACATAATAGCCCAGGAGAAAAGACAACTTATAAGGCATCTCGGGTAAGAAGTTACTTAGAAAGCGTCTGCATGATCAAGGAACTCCCATTGTAAGATCCGCTTTGCCAGTGCCTTGTTGGGCAGGCGTCCTGTACACTCCGTGTTCCGCACGACGTCGCGGCAGCCCTTGCTGTTCAGCCCTGAGAAAGTGGTGATAAACTGGGCACTATTAGCAACCCGGGCAGCTGTCCCACGGACTGCTCCATTAGGTCTCAGGAGTAGAGTAAACGTGGGAAATTCGGCTTTCCACATTTGTAGTTTTACCAGCCCGCCGGGCCGCGCTGGTTCGCTCCAATTTCTACTATCCAACCAGCGTGTGACAAAATTTAACTCGCATGACACAACCCAGTGGCTGGGCTGTTGTTACGTGATCTTAAGTGCATTTGAACTACGCAGTGGACATTCTGTGGATTGAACGTTGCTATTGATCGGTGACGTGGTTTCAACCACTAATCGATGGCGAACTGGGGCAAGGAAGCCAACAAAAGGCCCGTTACCGGTGCTTCAGTGCTCCATTCCCCTGTCCTGCCACTGGTCCAGCCGATTAGTTCGGTGCCTCAGGCTGCTAAATGCAAATTTACTGCTTTTGAGGATGTACTTGCCCCTACCGCAGACCAATTTGCCGGTTATTTAAGAGTTGTTTACGCACCAAAGTAGAAAATTGCAGTGGGACGTGCAACGTCCCAGCTGACGTGCTGGTGTGAGCAGTTACATGCGTCTTGTGCTCTCGCATACATGGTAATAGTGTAGTTTTTGACGAATCTACTCAAAATTGATAAAAAAGTGATTGGCGATACATTGAGGGTTTTTGTATATGGCTGCCTACCTTTGCAAAACATTTTAGAATACTGGAGGTGAATTTCTGTCTGTTATCTGTCCTGCCAAATGTGAATATAATGGCATTGAGTTAAGCTCAGGAGAATTCCATGAATGCTTTGTTCGTAAAACATTAAAACATTAAATTTCAAACGAGGTTCATTCCCATTCATTAAACATTTTCCTGCCAGTCGCGACGCAAGATGCGCAGCAGCAGGGTATTCTTGGCCTTAGTGACGAGTTCCCCACCAACTACGCAACAGGACTTTGGCAAGGGTGCTCGGTCTGACGTCAAAAGGGGCGGAGTCTATTTGCAGTGGCTTCGGCTGCATTTGGTCAACCCTGAACTTTCTTTGTTTTAAAAGTTTTGAATTAGGAACAGGGTGGGACATCACACGCCCATGCACTTATGCCTGAACCTGGAGTAAAAGGACGGATGTTTAATGCTCAATACAATGTAGGGTAAATAGAGACTGTGAAGTTCTTATATAATCATATTGCAATAGCTGAATGTTATATGGATAGTTTATCAAGCCATTGCAAGCGCGGTTGTTGCAAAAATGATCTAACTGACGATATACAATATCCAATACGCATCATTCCAAAGCGCTATTAAGAATATTCCTCCAGCTTACATTCAAATGTAAACATATCCGTTAATCACGATATTGTTGATGTTGGCTTTAGTAAACCCGTCTTGGTTTTTATACACACATCGCGCCAGCGTGAAGATATTTACTTACATTATAAAGCTCCCACGAATTTACTTTAACTCATTTGCCAATGCTTGCATCAGCCCACGTGCAGGGACCGCCGAATGTGCGCCGTAGCCACACCCCCATCCCGCCCCCATCGCTACGGGTCTGTTATTTTGCAGACACGTGGTGCGCAGTTGACAGCGTCTGCCTCACGCCAGGTCAGGTCGATAGCTTCCAGTCGGCATCCCAGGACTACCCCGCTTGGCTGGCATGTGAGGATTGCTTATCTAATGCGACCACGTCATGAGACGAGGTAGTTGAGTCTGGCTCTAAACAGCACAACCGAATGTGCATAATGCAGTGGATGGAAAAAAATCGATAATGCACTATTGGCAGCGGCATGTTCTTGAGCCAAGGGCCGGGGACTTGAATAACCATGAAGTGAGGTGTTCCAATAAGGCTGCGGGGCATTTTCGTTCATCCTATGTAACTTTGCAATGCAGAACACGAGTTTCCTTTTGTGTAAATAAGCTGGTGTCGCAATGTACAATATGCATGCATTGGTATTCGTAACTGCGACGTTATAGGGAAGCACCCATAGGCGCTATATTGCAAGGAAGCTTTCCATTCTCCCTCTTGCAATTCAAACCAATACTCACTGCCTAGCATATCATATTTTCCTTATGCGGCGAAATTTGCAGGATCATTACGCAGCTCGATGGAAACAAGGGCCTGCTATGTCTTTGTCTAATGAAGCCACATGCACCCTCCTCTGCTTGCGGTTGCCCTTTCATTGTCGTCCACGTGCGCGCCAACCAGACCAAAAGTGGCTTCGTTATTGCGAACTGTGACCGGACACCAGGCATCGCGGTTATTCCCAGAGCGGTATCGCCGCACAGGCCGCGTCAGCACATCCGCTGTCGAGGAGGGTGAGTCTGCATCGGTGCGGACAGAAATAACGCACCCTCCGCCTACCCACCGCCCACCGCCCACCGTCCTGCACCGCCCGCCGCCTGCCGTCCCTGGCTGGCACCGCCGGCCCGCGAATAACGCGGCGGCTTTGCTCAACTGGGTCAGTGCGTACTGTTCGTCTGGGGTTCGCACCGGCCTTTGGGTCCACCTGGATGACCTGCCGCGCCGCCATCGCCGCCACCGCGCAGGTGACCTGGCAAGGACGTTCGTATGTCCGACCGGATGAACCTCAGAGACACTGTCACCTGGCTGTTGCAGAATGGGCGACCGAGTCACAGAGGTCGCGTCAAAGTCGCGTCGCGCAGCCCCGCGCCTTGCGGCCCCGCGCCTTCCGACCCCCTCTGCGACCCCGCACCGCTGCCTCCCTCTGCGATTCATCCTAGCTGGCTAGATCGAGCCAGGAGCCGAAATTGTCCGACAGTCTGATGATCTTCGTCCAGCCCACGACGCGCTTCTGGTGCCAACCGACTAATTGCCGAAGGAATGTCTGACGAAAAATCACCACCTCTGGCTGGATCGTGGACAGGAGGCCGCTGACCTGTGTCCACTAAAAACATCCGTCTTCGATTAATCGACAGACACCTGTGACTACTTTTTGGCAGAGCGGTAGAGGCAGATGTCTGGCCGACACGTGGGTTTCAAAATCATGCAGACTCTGCAGATGAACACCAGACGGTTTTCGGCTCTTTGGTGTTTGTTTTTGGCCGGTAGGTAAACTAACAATTGATGACAATACCAGTAAAGTACTAGAGGATGCTTTTCAAGCGTTCAACGTTTAATCAATCCAAAACGTTGTAATTGCCCCCCCCCCCTGCTAAAAATTGTTGGCCTCGCATTGCACAAAACTGTACAAAAATTCAATGTTTTGCCTAGCTTCTTCT